AACCTCGCTGCTTAAACGCCCCTCGATGGATCGTGGTAAATGTGTCACTACCGGGAAGTGAAATTTGATCGTCTGTCAATTCTAGATCGTCGCAACTGATGTCCATGATGGATACTTCTTGAATGCCGAAAACGGCAAGTTTGTCCCTTAAATGTACACTCCTATTATGCAAAGGTCTGTAGAAATCTAATTTTTTCTGTGAGCTGTTATCATCCGTCAATTTTCGGCACAACATTCTGTCAGCCTTGATAAGCTCGGGAATGCGAGCTACAACCTGCTCGAGGCACACTTGAGCCTCAGTAAGCTGCTCCACCACTAAAGAGCTCAGATTCGGTTCTTTAGCCGCTTCAAGCAGGTATTCTAGAGAGGCTTTTGCCATGAAGCCACACTTGTCTTTTTCGTACTTTCTTGTCTTATTCCATTTTCCTAACTTTTCTTTCATAGCCACAACCCCGACAACTGGAACGCTTAATAAAAAAGCAACAACGCCAACTGGAACCCAAATAGGACTTGTGACCCCGATTACTACTTTGCTGGCCACGGAAAATTTCTCTGAAGGCGAGGAGTCATTTGATAGAACAGGTACATCATCTGCTATGACGAAGCTCTCCAGGTTTTCAAGTTGACCCACGACATACCTGTATCGCTGTTGAAAGTGCTGGATTAGAGAGCTACGAGCGCCAGAAAAGACATGTTCACGTTCCTCCCATGCTGCAATGAAGTCTTGAAGTCGCTTCGACAGTGCTTCGTAGATGTAGAATTTGGTCACCTCCCAACTCGCCATCGCTGGTGGAGTATCGTACGACGTCCACCAAGTGAAGCGCTGCACATCATCTGAAGACGTAAGGTACTTGGACAGAGGTGACAGCCCTTTCTGTTTTGTTTTTGAGGTGCTCTTGTAGCTCCTTTCTAACTGAGTTCTCCTTCTTCTCAATACCATGGAGGCGTTCATTTATCAAAATCATTCTGTCAATAACTTCCTGACGATCTTTGGACGAATTACTAATGAACGCTTTCGTGTGAAACACCACACGTGAAAGAAGGTAGTAGAGCCACCTTAAAAATGGAAAATAGATTACCTCACTTTGATAAAGACTGAAACAATGGATAGCGTGAAGAAGCACTCTGATTGGGATCTTTAACTCCGAATATCCTTGGCTATTCACCTCCGAGCTATTCATGGCTTTTACACTCCCGAAAATATTGTAATGTATATACGCTGTATTGTCTCATTTTTTCGACTTGGTAAATATCCACCCTCACATAGCCAACTTCATTTCGGTGACCAGTTATTAGTCTATTTTACTTATCAATCAGTTATACCGCATTTAAGACGCGTCAAGAGGTGAAGGCGATTCTTGCGGTTTTAATTGTGTCTATGTGTCTACAGACTTCATGAACACTTACTTCCACTGGATACACAGTCTTGCCTCGACACTTTTTAAAACCATGGACTTAATTCCATTCAT